GGGAAGGATAGTTGTAGATCCTTCTAAGGTAGAAGTGGTACTTGAGTGGAAAGCATCTAAGTAAGTTTTTGAGACTAGGAGTTTTCTAGGACTAGTTGGGTATTATAGGAGGTTTATAGAGGGTTTTTCTAAGTTAGCCTTACCTTTGACCAAATTGACTAGGAAGAACCAACCTTTGGTGTGGGACTCTAATTGTGAAGAGAACTTTCAGGAGCTTAAGAGGAGGTTAACTAGTGCCCTTATTTTAGTGTTACCTGACCCTAGTGAAACCTTTGTAGTGTATTGTGATGCCTCTAAGATGGGTTTAGGAGGGGTGCTTATGCAGAAGGGAAAGGTAATAGCCTATGCATCTAGGCAATTAAAAACCCATGAACAGAACTACCCTACCCATGACCTTGAGTTAGCTACAGTAGTATTTGTTCTTAAGTTGTGGAGACATTACTTGTTTGGGTCTAGATTTGAGGTTTTTAGTGACCATAAAAGCCTTAAGTACTTGTTTGACCAAAAGGAATTGAATATGAGGCAGAGGAGATGGTTAGAGTTCCTTAAGGATTATCACTTTCAATTGAATTACCACCCCGACAAGGCTAATGTTGTAGCTGACACTTTAAGTAGAAAATCTTTGAGAGTGTCTTCTTTGATGATTAAGGAGTTGTGTATGATTGAGAAGTTTAGAGATATGAGCTTAGTGTGTGAGTTGACCCCTAAAAGTATTAAGTTGGGAGCCTTGAGAGTGACTAATAGCTTGATAAATGAGATTAGAGAAGGTAACACGGTAGATAATTTATCATCGAGTAAAGTAGAGAAGTTGAATCAAGGTGTGGAGAGTGAGTTTAGAGTTGTATTGGATGGAGTGTTGAGATTTAAGGATAGGTTGTGTATTCCTAATGTGTTTGAGTTTAAGAAATCAATTTTAGAAGAAGGAAATAGGAGTAGCCTTAGTATCCACCCAGGAGCCACCAAGATGTACCAAGACCTTAGGAAGATGTTTTGGTGGCCTAAGATGAAGAGGGAAGTAGAGGAATTTGTGTATGCCTGCCTAGTATGTCAAAAAGCTAAGGTAGAACACCAAAAACCTTCAAATTTTTTACAACCTTTAGACGTGCCTGTGTGGAAATGGGATAACATCTCTATGGATTTTGTAGTTGGGTTACCTAGGACAGTGAAGAACTTGGATGCTATATGAGTCATTATGGATAGATTAACTAAATCTGCTCATTTTATTCCCATTAATATTAGGTACCCTTTAGAGAGATTAACTAAGTTGTACATAGGTGAGATTATGAGGTTGCATGGAGTTCCTACTAGTATAGTTTCTGATAGAGATCTTAGGTTCACCTCTAGATTTTGGGAGAGCTTGCATAAGGCGTTAGGCACTAAGCTTAGATTAAGTTCAGCCTACCATCCCTAAACAGATGGCCAAACTGAGAGAACCATACAATCTCTAGAAGACTTGTTGAGGGCTTGCATCTTAGAACATGGGGGTAGTTGGGATAGCTTCCTACCTTTGATAGAGTTTACCTACAATAATAGCTATCATTCCAGTATTGGGATGGCCCCCTATGAGGCTTTGTATGGTAGAAGATGTAGGACACCCTTATGTTGGGTAGAGCCTGGAGAGAATGTCATATTAGGACCTGAGATAGTTCAACAGACTACTGAAAAGGTTAGGATAATTCAGGATAATATGAGAGCATCCCAGAGTAGGCAGAAGAGATACCATGATAAAAGAAGGAAAGACCTTGAGTTTAAAGAGGGACACCATGTATTCCTTAAAGTAATTCCTTGGACTGGAGTTGGTAGCACTACTAGAAAGTTACTATTTAACGTTGTCAATTCTACATCGGTTTAGGTAAAACCGATGTAGAAATCAAATGCGGTGGTATTTTTGTAAATAAGTATATAATATAAAGCATATTTACATCGGTTATGGATGGGACCAATGTAAATATTGAGTATTCTACATCGTTTTTAAAGGGACCGATGTAGTATTGAATACGTAGTGGCAATTTTGTGAATAATTATAAATAGATCTACATCGGTTCACCTAGTAACCAATGTAGTATTGAGAAGCATTAAAACCCTCTCTCCGTGAAGAACTCTCTCTTGGTCGCTTTGGGGATACAATTCTCTCTTCTCTCATTTCAACCCTAGATTCACCAAATGCAAAACCCAAACCCTCCCTCAGCGTTGCTCCTCCACCGGAGCCATTGCGCGTCACCGCTGTTGCGCATTGCTGCCACTGCGTGTCGCCGCTGCTGCGCGTTGTCACCACTACGCGTCGCCGTTGATGTGCGTCGTCGCCGCTGCTGCACATTGATGTTGTGCATTGCCGCTGTTGCGCGTCGCTACTGTTGCGTGTCACCGCCGCAGCACACCGCGGCGCGATTTTCTTCCATTTTGTTGTGGATCATCCAGAAAATGGCAGCACCAACGTCGATTCATAAAATAGAGTTTGTTCATCCATCTGACAACTATTTGGTATTTTTCTGGATCCATGTCGGCTGTTGCAAGAATTTTACTTATATTGGAATTAGGCATTAGATCTTAATTATTCTCCAGAAAAGTATTTGGACATGTCATATTGATGCGAGCAATTTTTCAACTTGTTATGCAGGGGGAAGGAACAATGGGCTCAATGTGATGATTGCTCTAAATGGAGAAAGCCACCCATTGATGGTCTTCTTCACCGAAGTGGACATGTTCTGAAAATGTTTGGGATTCAATCAGGTGCTCCAATATTAATTCTAAGGCCAGTTTTTTTTTTATTGAGATAGTATGAGATAAAATGATTTACAATTCTTATTGTGGACATTTTTTTAGGTGTTCATGCTTTGCAGCAGAGGAGCTAAGTTCAAGGGAATTGGACATTTTTTTAGATTGTTTATACATATTTGGATTGAATGTTGTTTTGGCTTGCAAAATGTTCAATTTTATAAAACACACGCCCTCCATCCACTTGAAAAGGAAGTCCTATGTGGGACAATGTGATTTGGAATGTAGAAGGGGAGATAAATCTACATCGGTTCACCTAAAACTGATGTAGATTAGGACATAAATTTACATCAGTTCTCAAAACCGATGTAGAAATCTATATATTTTTTATGTTGTTCTATTCTACATCGGTTTCAGAACCGATGTAGATGGCTTCACAGAACTGATGTAGAAAACGTGTCTTGTAGTAGTGTAGAGCACTTAAATCTCGCAAGCTTACTCCATGATTCATTGGTCCCTACCAAGTCCTTAAGAGAATTGGTGATGTAGCTTATCAAATTGCGTTACCTCCATCCCTATCAAATCTTCACAGTGTCTTTCATGTTTCCCAACTTAGAAAATACATTCATGACCCATCTCATATTGTTGAATCCGATAACATTCAATTGAAGGACAACCTCACTTATGAAACTATACCTTTGAGGATTGAGGATAAGAGGGTGAACAACTAAGAGGTAAGGAAATTCCTCTAGTCAAGGTTGTTTGGGGAGGAAATGTTGAAGAAAATGCTACATGGGAAGAAGTCAGATGCAGAAAACACATTCGTTTTTATTTGCTTCAGGTAATTTCGGGGACAAAATTTCTAAAAAGATGGGAGAGTTGTAACATCCCAAAATTTCTACTAATATAATAGTTAATTAGGCTAAAAACCTATTTTGGTCCCTAAAAGTAATTGTTTGTTTCAATTTAGTCCCACTTTTATTTTTGGTTTTAATTTGGTCCCAAATAAATTAATTGGTTTCAATTTGGTCCCTAATAAATTAATTGGTTTCAATTTGGGACTTCCGTCCAAATTATTTAAACGGAGTTAACTGTTGGCCACGTGGATGCCACATAGATGCATAGGTGGATGCTACGTGGATGCCAATTTTTTTGAAAATACCTGGAACCAGAACGGCCCGTTCTGAAACCAGAACGGGCCGTTCTGGATGCACTCTTGGTGTGTTAATTTTGCATCTGAAACGGGCCGTTCCAGATTCAAAATTAACACACCAAGAGTACAGCAGAACAGTTCCTTCTGAAACCAGAACGGTCCGTTCTGAAATCAAAACGGCCCGTTCTGATTTCAGAACGTGCCGTTCTAGATTCAGAACGGCCCGTTCCAAAACTGAGAATAAAATATTCCGAGAACAGCGACACTGAAGACGTGGTGAACGAAAACGAATCCAGTGGCTTCAACCCTCTTGCATCCTAGAAAACGAAAATGAATCAATGGTGCCAAAGAACGAACTCGCGAAAACGAAAATTTAAGCGAAAACGAACTTGCAATAAATTTATTGTTAAAATGTCCTTTTGTTGAAATTTAAGCGAAAACGAAAACTGAAACCCTCCTTCTAATGTGGCAAACAACAACATACCTTGTGGGAGATGACGAACTCGCGATGAATAGCTACAACGAAGATGAACGGATTTTACAACGAAGACAAAGAATGGATTTGTTCGAGAGATAAACCTGGGCGAGAAAAAGAGGGACAAATTTCAATAGGGTATTTAAAATCGGTTTATTGAGAACCTATTTTGTATGATGCAAACAAAATCAGTTCTAAATGAAACCGATTTTGTATAGACTATACAAAATCAGTTCTTTGTGAACTAATTTAAAAAAACAACAAGAATACACTTTTTAAAATCGATTAAAATGTAACCAATTTTAAAAGGTTTTTTAAAATCGGTTAAATGGTAACCAATTTTAAAAACTGTAGCATTATTTACAAAAATGCCACCACATTTTTTTAAAAATCGGTTCCCTGTTAACCGATTTTAAAACCCTGTTCTTAAAAGCAGTTTTTGCACTAGTGATCACAACAATTAAGTTTAATTTTTAAATTGAAAAATCTTATTAATAAAATTATGTATAATATCTAAATAATTTAATAATTAACTTTTAAAATATTATTTTAAAAAATTATTAAACTAATTATAAAATATTTTTAAAAATTATTTTTTAAAAATAAATATTCATGAATATTCGCAGGTACACAAATATTAAACAAATTTTCAAATATTCATTTAATAAATATCCTCACAAATATAAAAATAGATTAAAAAAAATATTTATCCAACGAGACAAACAGTAATTTAGTAAAAATTACTGCTTACTCTAAATTACTGCTTACTTATTTTGTTCCGTTGACATTCCTATATGTATAAAACTGTTAATGATACTTTAATGTCATTATTCCAGCAATATTTTCTTTGAACTTGATTGTTCAAAAACAAACATGTTTCAATAACCACCGGAATTATCTTAGTGGTAAAAAAAGGGATTGAATAAATATGGAAGAACTGAAGTTCAATCCTTGCGAACAAATAAACACGTTTCACTTTCACTCCGAATCTGCTTCCTTTTTGTTCTGCTCAAGGTCTCTGTATATACATCAAACAAACACATAATGTTAATTAGTATCAAATTATGTAAAATTAATAATTTAATAAATGTTAAATGTATGTATTGCATGCAATATCAAAATTTCAAAATAAGATATTATTTATATAATTGAAGACAGTTATCAATGTAACAGTTGTAAAACGAACAGAATTGAATCATAAACAGCTGAAGAAAATTGTTCAAGTGCCTTTTTTATTTATTTATTATTATTACACATTAAAGAGGAAACATAACAAATCCA